AATTAAAGCTAAATATTTCAAAACTATGAAGTTTAGAAAAATTTCTGAATAGAAGCATGAAATGCAAAAACCGTAAAAAATATCAAAAAGCTGTTTACTGTATGAATGGCTGAAGAGGTGCTGAATAGTTATTAGTTGAAATGGCTTTAGCTAAAGTTATGCTGAACTTATGAAGTTGTGAAAAATGTCCCATTGGTTCCTACAAAGTAGGTAAAACAAGTAGGGTTGTGTGTTTGTGTGTGTCAGAGTAGTCCTACACCCTGGTGACTAGAGTGTGGCTATTGAAATGAGACAATGTAAATGGCAATTATGCAAAAAAATGTAAAAGATATTAAAAAGCTGTTTGTATTATGAATAGCTGAAGAGTTACTGAATAGTTATTTGAAATGGTGTGTTTTGCTGAAGGTATCTGAAGGTATTTTGAAGATATTAAGATGTGAAAATATTTCCCATTTATTTGAATGGGGCAAAATTTGCTGAAAAAAGCTGAATATTTTAAAACGTATACAGTCTTATGCAAAATTAAAAAAGAAAAATATAAGCCCTTGTCCTTAAAAAGCTGAACATTTTGATACCTCAATGGCCCTTCTAGGTGCAAGTATGCTAAAGAAATTAGGTGACAAAAAAACAGATGGAAGATCCCAGAATAATAAAAAATAAATGCCCGGATAATATACGTTGGATGCCTCACAGCATCCACATAATAAAGAAAAGGATAACATACTGTGGATGCTGCTGCATCAGCATCCACACAATAAATAAATAACAGGAAAACATAGTGTGGATGCTTTTGAGCATCCACACAATAAGAGTATTTCCTCTACTGCAGTGCAGTGCTACACCTCATCTACACCACCACCATCAGTGATGATGTTTACAGTATGACAGACTCATATCATACTGTAATCACAGAAAACATGACGAAACATTTGGCCAGACAGACAGCATCACTTCCACTACCTTAAATTTAGATATGCCAGATGTGAAACTGGTGTTTAAATCCAGGTGGTAATTAGAACCAACTAACTGGTTTTACCTTACAGCACTGCCCTCTAGCTGCTGGTGGAGTTATAATTTGTCCAGCTTTGCACAGACACAGGTCTTCTCACCCCATGCCCGCAGAGACCTCTATGCTCCCCACTTCCCTTTATCTCTTCCCCATACACACTCAGCCACACATTCCCAGCAGGCCGGGTGTTTATTTAACCCTAAGCCTTTGATGGAGACACCTTATCATACAGTACAGTTGGTGGATTAATATTTCCCAGTTAAGGACAGTGTTGTTTTTTTATCCCACCATGGCCCCTGCCTGAGAACTGGTCTGGCCAAGTCATTAAGTAAGGCCTAATACTGACTATGCTTCTGACTGTTTTTTGTTTTCGTGCTGTGAAGTCATGCTGCTGGTCAGGGCACCTGGATAGTAGTACTGTTGTGCTTCTGTAAACATGAAGTATTATTTTGTCATGGTCTGGACCTTTTGTTTATGGTGTATTCATGCACAGGTTGGTGTCAAGTGCATATCTTTCATCACTCAGAACTATGATTTCTCTCAGCAATTTGCAAACTCACTTCCAATGGACAGGATTTGACAGTTTGACACCCTTTGGTTCCCATTTGAGGCAAGCCTAGATGTATGGTGATAGAGCACACACACTCACAGACTCTAATATACACTTACTACTGGCTTTCTATCACTACTGAAATAGCTTGATAGCTCCTGTTGTATGTCACCTGGCACTCCAAAGAGTTTGAATGTATTATACTTGAGAAAGCATAGTGTGGAATACTGTCTGCAGATGTGTATGGGGTATTTGTTTTGTGACTATTACAGGTCGGTTGCTGTGCTGCATCCAGAGTGCTCATGTTATTTTCTTCCCTCAGATGCAAATGGAGGGCATGATGGAGATGCTGAGGGGTGGCTGAGGGTGGCAGTGAGTGTTACTCCTCAGGAAGCTGCTCCAGTGTTGGAGCTTGGTGCCTGCTTTAATTACTGCATCATTAGTCCTCCCACTCCGTCTCACTTCTGGAGAAAATAAAGGCCCAGACCTTGAATATGTTAATATAATTTTATTATAGTGTGGATACTGAAAAGCATTAACACTATGTTTTACTGTTCTTTGTTGTGTGGATGCTGTAGCTGCAGCATCAACACTCTTGTTATCCTATTCTTTATTGTGTGGATGCAATAATGCATCCACACTATGTTATCCTGTTCTTTATTGTGTGGAGGCTATGCAGCCACACTCTTGTTATCCAATTTTATTGTGTGGATGCTTCAGCCGCCCCACCCTTTTTTTTCCTTTTTAAAAAAAAATTATTTATTTGTATGGATGCAAGTTATGGATGCTGACTCAGCATCCATACCTTGTTTTCCTGGTCTTTATTATTATTATTGTATGGATGCTGATTTATACTATGTTATCCAATTATTGTATGGATGCTGATTTATACTATGTTATCCAATTATTGTGTGGATGCGAAGCAACCACACTATGTTATCCTATTCTTTTATTGTATGGATGCTGAGTCAGCATCCATACCTTGTTTTCCTGGTCTTGATTATTATTATTCTTCCGTACGTCTTCTGGCCCTTAACTACTTCAGCATACTTTGAGCTAGAAAAACCATTCAGGTATCAAAATGTTTAGCTTTTTCAGGACATGCATGGATCTATTCAGAATTTTCCTAAACTTCATACTTTTTGAACTATTTAGTGTTTTTCAGCAAAATTTTGCCCATTCAAATGAATGGGTAAATTTAACTTCAGCATACGTTCAGCTATTTCAGCTATTGAAATATTCAGCTCTTCAAGGACATTCATGCTTCTCTTCAGAACTTTTGTAAACTTCATACTTTTTAAATATGTAGCTTTATTTTGAAAATCTTGCCCCATTCAAATGAATGGAAAAATTCAACTTCAACCTACTTTCAGCTATTTCAGCTATTAAAATGTTCAGGTCTTCAAGGACATTCATGCTTCTCTTCAGAAGTTTTATAAACTTCATACTTTTTGAAATATCAAGCTTTATTTTGAAAATTTTGCTCTATTCAAATGAATGGGGAAAATTCTACTTCAGCATAATGTCAGCTATCAAAATGTTCAGCTCTTCAAGGACATTCATGCTTCTCTTCAGAAGTTTTATAAACTTCATACTTTTTAAATATGTAGCTTTATTTTGAAAATCTTGCTCCATTCAAATGAATGGGAAAATTTTACTTCAGCGTAATTTCAGCTATCAAAATGTTCAGCTCTTCAAGGACATTCATGCTTCTCTTCAGAAGTTTTATAAACTTCATACTTTTTAAATATGTAGCTTTATTTTGAAAATCTTGCTCCATTCAAATGAATGGGAAAATTTTACTTCAGCGTAATTTCAGCTATCAAAATGTTCAGCTCTTCAAGGACATTCATGCTTCTCTTCAGAAGTTTTATAAACTTCATACTTTTTAAATATGTAGCTTTATTTTGAAAATCTTGCTCCATTCAAATGAATGGGAAAATTTTACTTCAGCGTAATTTCAGCTATCAAAATGTTCAGCTCTTCAAGGACATTCATGCTTCTCTTCAGAAGTTTTATAAACTTCATACTTTTTAAATATGTAGCTTTATTTTGAAAATCTTGCCCCATTCAAATGAATGTGAAAATTTTTGTTCAGCATACTTTCATCTAGCAAAACCATTCAAATGTCAAAATGTTCAGCATTTTCAGGGCAATCTTTCAGCAGTCAGCAGCCATACGCATTTTCTTCAGAACATGCATTTTTCTAG